TCACTGATTGACTTTGCAGCTGCAAGGCTACTCAATGCTAATCAAGCTGGCTAATTGCAACACTCACACTCGCTCCAAACAGGAAAGAGGCCATAATTATAGCAAACAATAGTTCTACTACAATTTTACCAGGCAGTGTCGTAGCCACCTCTTTCTTTTCCCCCGCGTCTCTCCGTCTCCTAGCAACCCTCGAAGGCCCGCCGTTTCCATGGTGACCGTCGGAAGCCAACATGGCTGCGGGGTTCTTGTGACGTTAGGGTCCGTCTCAAAAGTCCGTCACAAGATCACAACGCAAAGCAGCCTGAACCAACCAGACTTCTTAGGTTTCCGTTCCGAAACATGGATTTTTAGAATCCTCTTGTTGTCTTTAGTCATTTTATTCCTTCCTCGGCCCACAAGTGAGGTATTTCCAGTTTCTGATTTTGCGGTAGTTTGTAGATAATCCCTTGTTGGTAAGTGGGCGGGGCCTTAGTTCTGATTCCACTCATTCTCCTAGTGGAGGCAGACCAAGGCTGCGCATGCGCATCTTTGTGTTCAGTCGCCTCAGTTCTGACTCCTCCCATTCTCCTAGTGGAGGCAGACCAAGGCTGCGCATGCGCACCTTTGTGCTCAGTCTTCTCCCCGCACGCCCAGTCTGATGGAAGAGCCACAAAACAAATGGCGCATGCGTACTTCCTCTTTGTCTTTTTTGCAGTGGTGTCTTGCTTCCTAAGCCTCATTTATGCAAAATATCTTTGCATCAGAAATATCTTGCAGTTAGGATTTTATATATTTTATATATTTCATTTTATATCAATATAAAATATATAATATTATTTAAAAAATATAAATAAAAATATATAATATTATATAAAATATATAAATATAAAATTATATTTATATTTATATTGATTTATTTTTATTTTCCTTGATTAAAATCATCTGTAACTTGCTGTGGTTTTTAATTTTGAATATATTCTCCAAGGGCATTAAATACTAAACACAAGTCGTGTTTGACGCTGCGTCTGGTGGTCCCTATGTAGTCCCCCAGGCAGCAACCAGCCAGGCTTTGAAGCTGAAAGGCCATTCAGTGCTAATCAAGGTGGCCAATTGCAACATTCACACTTTTCTCAAGCAGACAAGAGTTCTTTCTCCCACCCCGGACATTATCCCACAGATATATCAACCCCACTGGCCTAGTTTCCAATAGATCTTACAACCTCTGAGGATGCCTTCCGTAGATGTGGGAGAAATGTCAGGAGAGAATGCTTCTGGAACATGGCCATACAGCCAGAAAAAGATTCCGGTCATGAAAGCCTTTGACAACACACTGTTTTTATTCTGTTTATATTTAATACTGTTTATATTTAATCTTCTTTTAATGTTTGCATATTTTCAATTGTATTGTTTATTCGTTCAGCCGTGTCCGACTCTTGGTGACCTCATGGACCAGCCCAGGCCAGAGCTCACTGCCAGCTGTGGCCACCCCCAGCTCCTTCACAGTCAAGCCAGTCCTTTCAAGGATTTTTATTTATTTACTTACAGTATGTATATTCTGCCCTTTTCACCCTGCAGGGGACTCAGGGCGGATTACAATGTACACATATATGGCAAACATTCAATGCCAAAGACACACAACAGATACAGACAGACGTCCGAGGCTATTTAACTTTTCTGGCCGCCAGGGGAGCTGTCGCTTTCATCGTCCATCTGCGACACTGATGAAGTACTTCCACATTCCCCGCATGCTTTGCTGGAGTGCTTTTGCTGGAGTCTTTTTTTGTGGCCTCGTACATTTTTGTTAAATTAGCCTCCCCACACATAGGTGGTACCTAATTTTCCTACTTGACAGATGCAACTGTCTTTCAGGTTGCAAAGGTCGACAACAAGCTACACAATTGGTTGGAAGCTCGCTCCAACCCGGGCTGGCTTCGAACTCATTATCTTTTGGTCAGAAGTGATCTTAATGCAGCTGACGCTCAGCCAGCTGTGCAATTTTTGGAAGAAGGGGAGCTAAAGCCTTTCAAGAAAAACCCTCCCCAGAAGAGGGTAGGGAGAAACTACATCCATCCATCTTGCCCTTGGTCGGCCCCTCTTCCTTTTTCCTTCCTTTCCCCCCAGTATCATTATCTTCTCTAAGCTTCTCTGTCTCCTCATGATGTGGCCAAAGGCCAAAGTACTTCAACTTTGTCTCTAGTATCTTTCCCTCCAGTGAGCAGTCGGGCTTTATTTCCTGGAGGCTGGACTGGTTGGATCTTCTCGCAGTCCAAGGCACTCTCAGCACTTTCCTCCAGCACCACAGCTCAAAAGCATCGATCTTCCTTCGCTCAGCCTTCCCTAAGGTCCAGCTCTCACATCCGTAGGTGACTATGGGGAATAACATTGCTTTAACTATGCAGATCTTCATTGCCAGTGTGATGTCTCTACTCTTCACTATTTTATCGAGATCGGTCCTTGCTCTCCTCCCAAGAAGGAAGCGTCTTCTGATTTCCTGGCCCCAGTCTGCGTCTGCACTCACCTTTCCACCTAGAAATACAAACCCTGTCACGTCAGTCTGGTTGCCATAATCTTGTGTTTTTATGTTTAACTGAAACCCAGCTTTTTCACTTTCTTCTTTCACCTTGAAGGCTCCTCAGCTCCTCCTCGCTTTCGGCCATCAAAGTGGTATCATCTGCATATCTAAGATTGTTAATGTTTCTTCCAGCAATTTTAACCCCAGCCTTGCATTCGTCAAGCCCCGCGCACCGCATGATGTGTTCTGCATACATGTTGAATAGGTTGGGTGAGATTAGACAGCCCTGCCGTACTCCTTTCCCAATCTTGAACCAGTCGGTTGTTCCGTGGTCAATTGTACACTACTCTTTATGTTTAGCCACTCTGAGTCTCCTTCGAGACAGATAAAGCGGTATATAAATCAATAGAACAATAACAATAATAATAAATCCATGTTGGAGCATGTAAGAAATCTGTTACTGTGTGTATGTGTCAACTGTAAAGTAAGATGCATGAAGCTGATTGGTTGAGCTATGTCCGGGGAGATGGCTGAGCCTGAGGCTTTTGGATACTGTTACATTTTGTCCAGGCTTGAGCTATGCACGTGCAGACAGTTTGAAGAGAGAAGCAGAGAGTCAGTTTTGGAGTGTATTCTTGCTTCATAAGTTGCTGGAAGGAGTTTCTCCACATGGACAAAAAAAGACAATTTTGAGTCTCTTATAAAATATTATGTGAGTTGGTGCAACTGATCACACTGTACATAGATGAGGTTGGCTTGATGCACCTTCCTCTTGGCATGTTTCTCTCTTTCACCCTCCATTTGTGCCTCTTCAAATTCTACAGCATTGCTGGTCACAGCCGACCTCCAACTGGAGTGCTCACAGGCCAGGGCTTCCCAGTTCTCAGAGTTTATGGTTATAAACAAAGAGTAAACTACTTGTTCTTTAGTGTTCACTTGTGTTGCATATTTTCTTTCTCCGGGAAGGCAGTGTGTGGGCTTATCAAACGTGAACTACACGTGGTTTATTTTATATTATGGCACAATCCATAATTATGTGTTTTTATCTTTATTAGGAACTAATATGATAGATATAGGCAACAATTTCCAAATTCTTTTTTTTCAAACCAAGGAAGTGTGACACAGACCAGTCTGAATGTCTCTTGTAAATGTTATCTTTGTAATGTATATTTCTTAATTTTGTTTTTTTCAAGTGGCAAAGAAAAAGAACAAGGAGGAAAGAATACAAAAACCAAAGAAGAGAAGTACATACACTGTAGAATGAAGGCAGTTTGATACCACTTGAACTGCCATGGCTCAGTGTTATGCAATCATAAGATTTGTAGTTTAGCAAGATACCAACACTCTCTGGCAGAGAAGGCTAACGATCTTTTTTTTTTCATGTCAGGAACAACTTGAGAAACCGCAATTCGCTTCCGGTGTGAGAGAATTGGCCGTCTGCAAGGACGTTGCCCAGGGGATGCCCAGATGATTGATGTTTTACCATCTTTTTGGGAGGCTTCTCTCATGTCCCCGCATGGGGAGCTGGAGCTGACAGAGGGAGCTCACCCATGCTCTCCCCAGATTCGAACCTCCAACCTGTCAGTCTTCAGTCCTACCGGCACAAGGGTTTAACTCACTGCGCCACCAGAGGCTCCTGTAAAGATCTTGAGATACTGTAACTCCCATGATTCCATAGCATTGAACTGTGGCAGTTCATGTGGTGTCAAACTGCATTGTTTCTGCAGTGTGGATGCACCCACAATCCCTTCCCATCAAAAGTAGTCCTATCACTTTGACTCTATGCATCGTAGCTCCACTTTACCATTGTTCAGTGGTTAATGGACTGGGTGACTATGGGTGCAATTAGAACTGGGAGTTGTAGTTTGGTGAGAAGCTAGCACTATCTGGCCTAGAAGGCTTGTAAAACCATGTCTCTCATTATTCCATAGCATTGAGACAAGGTGGTTAAAGTGAAATCAGACCCTTAATTGTATAGTATAGATCAGGCATGGGCAAACTTTGGCCCTCCAGGTGTTTTGGACTCCAACTCCCACAATTCCCACAGGCTTGAGTTTTGGCAGTTGGGATTTGTCAGTTGGGAGTTAGATAGTCGGTTGGTGTTCACAGTTGGATAGTGCTAGATAGGAGAACCGGGTTAATCTTTTGAAGTATTCAAGGGTTAGAGGAATTAGCCAGGAATACTGACAGTAGGAACAGGACCTTGCTTATGGTCTGCTTCTTTTATTCCTGAGGAAGGCAAGGCCAAGGTTGTTAGACTAGATTCCAGAAAGTGGGAATTTGGTTTGGAATTATCATCAGAGATTAGTTTCCTGAGATAATATCCTGTTTTGTTAACTCTAGATTTGAACCCAGTGTTTATTTATTTGTTTACTTCATTTATATATCGCTTTTCTCAGCCCTTGGGCAACTCAAAGCAGTACCCATCTAAGAATTGTACATCAAACGTAACCAAAAGCTTTTGTGCCATTCACTTACAGAAACCATTACGCATTTGTACCAGAAGAGTTTAAGCCTGTTAAATAAACATTTTATTATAGTTAACACATTACAACAGCCTGTGTGTGAACATCACTGGTATTTAAACCCTCCGAGGACAACAAACACCATAGTAACACAGAAGGGTGTTACTAAGTATCCTCTCCACACATATAACTCAGCCTGAATACTAAGCAATAAGGTGGCAGCGTACCCCAATTGAAGAAACAGTTACAAAACCTCTCATTTCAGGCTTAATTCAAATATATATTCAGTTCCCTCCTTCCTGTGATATTCATTATAATTTTGGTGAAGTAGCGTTGGGATTATTCTTGTGTCTTTCCCTGTCTGATAAATTCAAAATATTTTAATACCTTCTCTACTATTCGGCCTTCCTCTCCTGATAAACCATTCATAATTATAAAGGCTGTTAGGCATGGTGGGAGTTGGAATCCAAAACACCTGAAGGGCCAAAGTTTGCCCATGCCTGGTGTAGATGGACCATAAAGAAGGAGTAAAGAAGTAGTAAAGTAGGAAAGGTAAACCACTGACCAATATACATTTTGGTGTTTCAAATGTTAGCACCACTTCAGGGTCTATTTGACCTGGTGATTACAAAAATTGCACAATTTTCCCCCTATCAGCTCTAGTTTTTGAGATACAGAACGTATGCCATCTTCCAGTTGCCATCTGCTCACCCCTAGAAAACCATGATAACCATGTGTAAGAAACTAGAGCTGATGTGGTCTATCCTATACATGTGGTCTATCCTGTTTTGGTTGGGCTGTGATATTGTTTAGGTTTCGGGCCCCCGTTGTGTCTAGATTGCGGAAGGCGGCCTGGTCCACTTGTTGCCCCATACAATTGCTCATGTGCTTCCTTGGCTCCACCATAAACATCTAGAGATACTTTCAGACTCCATTCTGGTAGTGGGTCTCCATTTCTTTCCACTTGCCACAGTCCAGGCTGCCCACTATTTCAGTGAGTAGTGTTTGAAGCATGGACGTCCGCCTCTTGCTGACCTCCAAGACGCTGTGATGGTCAACGTTCGCCTTCGCATTGTAGTCTTTGACCACTTTGTTGGTGATCAGCGAGAGGCCAAAGACACGGAGGCCGCAATGCCGGGCCACAACGACCTCCGCTGCAGTGCTCATACCTGGAAGGACAGAAGGAGACAGTTTTTAGCATCTGATCCAATCCCAAATGTCCCAGATCAAGACTTTCATGGGGATGCCAAGATGCTTATTTATAAAGATACTAGCAATCCCCTGCCACACGTTGCTGTGACCCACATGGGGGTTCTGTGTAGGAGGTTTGGCCCAATTCTATCGTTGATTGGGTTCAGAATGCTCTGTGACTGTAGGTGAACTATAAATCCCAGCAAGTACAACTCCCAAATATCAAGATTCTATTTTCCCCAAACTCCACCAGTGTTCACATTTGGGCATATTGAGTGTTTGTGTAGAGTTTGGCCCAGATCCATCATTGTTTGAGTCCACAGTGATCTCTGGATGTAGGTGAACTACAACTCCAAAACCAAAGGACACTGCCCACCAAACCCTTCCAGTATTTTCTGTTGGTCATGGGAGAACTGTGTGCCAAGTTTGGCTCAATTCCATCGTTGGTGGGGTTCAGAATGCTCTTTGATTGTGGGTGAACTATAAATCCCAGCAACTACAACTCCCAAATGACAAAATCAATTTTTTGAGTGAAGGACATACATTGGGTTGTTATGTGTCTTGTGTCCAAATTTGGTGTCAATTCATCCAGTGGTTTTTGAATTCTGTTAATTCCACAAACAAACATTACATTTTTAACATGATTTTTGTTCCCGGGTTACAAATGCCATTTTCTAATTGGTTCTATCATTAAAAAACATGGGGAAAGTTTATTAAACTGCAGAAACTTTGTTTTTGTGAAAAGGCTATCCTGCTATAGCACATTTTGCAATAGTGTTTCAATGAATATCTCATGGAGTCAATGAATATCTCATGGAGACAATTCAACATAGCCTGTGGCAGCCACAAAAAAGGAAGTTTCTTGAATGGAACAACAACTACTGATGTAAAAACCACACAATTAAACAGGAAACAACAGAGGCTGGATGGCCGTCTGTCAAGAGTGCTTTGATTGTGCTTTTCCTGTATGGCAGGAGGTTGGAATAGATTGCCCATGGCGTCTCTCCTATCTCTATGCTTCTAAGTGTCTTACCCACAGCGTCTGCTCCCAGTAAGTGTAACAGCCGAGCCTCTGCCACGGATTCAAAGGTGGGCCCCCCCACCATGCAGTAGACCCCTTCTCTGACAAAGGAGGTGTAGCCCAGGTGCCTAGCGGTCTCCAGGGCCAGCGCACGGATCTTCCTGTCGTAAGCGTCCGAGAGGGCAGGGAAGCGGGGACCAAACCTGCAGAAAGAAGAGGATGCTCTCAACACACCGTAGTGAGTTCTTTATTTACTGTTTTGACTCTACAAACTACAAGAGAGGAGATTCCATCTGAACATGAGGAAGAACTTCCTGACTGTGAGAGCCGTTCAGCAGTGGAACTCTCTGCCCCGGAGGGAGTGTGGTGGAGGCTCCTTCTTTGGAAGCTTTTAAGCAGAGGCTGGATGGCCATCTGTCAGGGGTGATTTGAATGCAATATTCCTGCTTCTTGGCAGAATGGGGTTGGACTGGATGGCCCATGAGGTCTCTTCCAACTCTTTGATTCTATGATTCTATGATTCTATGGTTCTTTTTAATACTGGAGCCCCCGGTGGCGCAGTGGGTTAAAGCACTGAGCTGCTGAGCTTGTTGATCGAAAGGTCGCAGGTTCGATTCCGGGGAACGGCGTGAGCTTCCGCTGTCAGCCCTAGCTTCTGCCAACCTAGCAGTTCGAAAACATGCAAATGTGAGTAGATCAATAGGTACCGCTCCGGCGCTCCATGCAGTCATGCCGGCCACATGACCTTGGAGGTGTCTACGGACAACGCTGGCTCTTCGGCTTAGAAATGGAGATGAGCACCACACCTCAGAGTCAGACATGACTGGACTTAATGTCAGGGGACTACCTTTACCTTTACCTTAACCGGATTCTGTTCATTTTCATGGTTTCCTCCTTTCTGTTGAAACTGTCCACGTGCTTCTTGTGGATTTCAGTGGCTTCTCTGTGCAGCCTGACACGGTGGTTGTCAGAGTGGCCCACCATTTCTGTGTTCTCAAACAATATTCTGTGTCCAGGTTGGTTCCTCAAGTACTCTGCTATAGGTGACTACTTTGGCTGAATCAGTCTGCAGTGCCTTTTGTGTTCTCTGATTCATGTCTGCACATCATTGCGTTTGGGGGTCCTTATGTAGACTCCACTTGCTTCACTGCCAACAGAAGCTCTGAGGATGCTTGCCACAGGTGCAGGCAAAACGTTAGGAAAGAATCCTGCTGGGAGATGGCCATACGGCCCAATAAACTCAGAGCAACCCAATATTTACAATGGGTTCACCATTTTTTATCCATTCCATATAAATCCACCATTTCTCTTTGCCCATACCTGCGCTGGACTGAAATCAGTGCTGTGCTTGGTAAGTGCTTTGGCCTAAGTTATGGTTTGCTATCTGCTTGCCTTCCTGCTCAATTTTGGGGCTCATCTCCCAACTGGGAGGAAACAGTAGGGCTTTCAAGAGGGAATCTGGAGCACTTACCGCTCCTCATTGGGACCCCGCAAAGGGTTTTCCCCAGTGAGGCCCAACAAGTTGATGTGATCCTTGATGATCATGAGGTCGCCAACGTTGTAGGAATCTGCCAAGCCGCCCGCCGCATTGGTGACCAGTAGCGTCTCGATACCCAAGAGCTTGAATACCCGGATAGGGAAAGTCACCTGATCCAGGGAGAAAAGGTAATTGATTTAAATACATTGTAATGAGATGTCCTTCTCTGCATCATCATTATAGTTTGCATCCTACTTTTCCACATAGAACTAGATTTAACTCTGCTCCCTCCAAAAGCAGTAGGATCAATATAGCAATATTAAATGACCACTCACAAGCCGGTTTTGCTTTGAAATGGATATATTGCATGTATCTCTGCAGCAAAGAAAGACACTACTGACTTTTTCCCACCACCACTTCCTTTTATACACCTTTCCTGCCCATCTCCCCCTCTTCTCAGTTTCCTTATTAAAGCTTGTTGCTTCACAAGTTCCAAATCAAGGTTTCTAGTACCCTCTGCTGTCTTCAAAATGTCACAGAGAGAGAATTGAGACAGGCAGGATGATTTAGTCAGGATGTCATGGAGGGAATTTGTGATGTCTTCACGATGTCAGAAATTGACTCCTGACAACATGGCTCCCTTCCCAAGATGATTAATCAACTCTGAGTTTTAGTCTCAATTTTAAATGGGATCAAGTCGAGCCTTTTGGACAGCTCTTTGGAACATTCACTGTGTAGATTAATGGGAACTGGATCTAACTCTGGGCGATTTCAACATACTTGGAAGTACTTAGAATTTTTTTTAGTGCTATTTGTGTTTAATTCTGTTTTACTGTTTGTATGTTAGCATATTTTAATTTGTCTAGTGATGCTTTTATGTCAAGCCACTTTGAGTTCCCTTTGGGGAGACAAAGCGGAGTATAAATAAATATAGTTATTATTGGGTTATTGTAGGTTTTTTCGGGCTATATGGCCATGGTCTAGAGGCATTCTCTCCTGACGTTTCGCCTGCTTCTATGGCAAGCATCCTCAGAGGTAGTGAGGTGTTTTGGAACTAGGAAAAAGGGTTTATATATCTGTGGACCCAGTGATTCCGGCCATGAAAGCCTTCGACAATACATAGTTATTATTATTATTATTATTTATTAATGCACAACAAGTCACACTCTCTCTGCCTCGGAGAAGGTGGGCATTGCAAACCTTCTCTAAATAAGTACTGCCAAGAAAACCCTAAGACATAAATTTGGGCTCCAGTGTGGGCTAATTTAAGTATTGGATTAGGACTCTGGGAGACATGGGTTCGAATCCTTGCTCAGTCATGGAAATTCTTTTTGTGACCTTCAGCAAGTCATGCTCTCTCAGCCTCAGAGGAAGGCAAAAGCAAACCTCCAATGAATCAAACTTTTCAAGAAAAACTTGAGAAATGGGTTGTCGTGAGGTGCGCCTTACCTTCCAGAGCGGGTACCCCTCATACATGTGGAAGCGCCCTTTCATGCAGACACATTGTTTGCCTTTCAGTCCCCCGAAGATGAGGTGGCCATCGTGGCCGGCCACTGAAGAAAGAGACGGTGAGCCACATTAATGCCCTCACTATTGCCAGTCCACACTAAAAGAGTTTGTTTTGAGGATAGAATATACCGGTAAATAAATAAATGTAATGTAATGTTAGTTTGTGG